GAATGTGCCCAGTTATGAGACAGTTAAAATCATGGGGTAGGAGTGGAGTTCATGAATAAACACCCCCCTGCCAGAATTCTATCATCAGAGGAACATTCATTCCCAGGTCTTGTGACACTTTGGGGAAACTAAGCTTCCCTTTCCCAGTGGTAACCAACACAGGGATGCGCACCTCAGTCCCCTCTCCCACTTTCCCAGTTATCTCTATCCCATCTCTTGAAGCCACCTCCAAAGTGAATGGTGTGACCTTAGCCTGTCCCTACTCTACTTGCTGGGAAACAATTGAGACAGAGCCCAGTTACACAGTCCTCCCTGTCATTAGAGAACTGACACAAGGAGGCTGACTTTGCAGTCATCGCAGGTGAAGTCGAGACCTTGACATCCAGTAGTCTGAGAATGGCCAGGGTTGGGGGAGGGGAGCATGCTCCAGGGTGCCTTCTCTGACTCAGGCTGACTCATACCTTTCCCATGGTTTTCTGTGTTTTTGCATCAACACAGTCTTGCTCTCAGCCAATTAACCCATAGCAGAGTTCATTTAAGCTTTAAAAAGTGCATTTTTGAAGAGAGTCACATGCAGGACATTCTGATTAAGCTTTGGATGTTTCCTAAACTGGTCATCATCTCATTCAGACATCGTGCCCCAGGAGGCTGCCCTCTGTGATGGCTGAACTCATGCATCACCCATCCCGACCTGACTCTGTGCAGCCCCATCTCTGTTGAAGTTCAGGGAACCCACAGCTGCTCAGCATTTGTCAGTGACCCTCAGCCTGGCCAGGAGCAGGAGCTGGATGATGCCTGGGCACTAGGGTAACACAAACAGCTCCGAGCACTGCTCTGGGCAAACAAGTACTTTATCATCCTTTCCAAATGGCCAAGGACAGGCCAGTTTTATTGCTGTGGAAAATGTGACAGAATTTTGTGTTTTAAGGAGGTCACATTAAAAACAACTATTTGAGAATTCTGGGTATTTGTTAATACTGAACACACCACAATAGACACACATATGCACAAAATTAAATTTCATAAGAAACACAGTAACTTGAGAGTTTCTATACAGACTCTCACTTGTTTTTGATTTTTTAAAAATTTTATTCAAAGATATTTTTAAGTTTATAATTTTCCTGAAAAGTGAGCTCACATGTGCCTTCACATGCTGATGTGCTCTTGCACACATGCACACACACACACACACACCCATAACATATTGTTCTGATCATAACAGAAGTGCCTCAAGATCCATGCTGACATCTTTTGATTCAGGACAGATACCCTTTGCTTGAAATCTCTGAAACCATGACCCAAAATAAAACTCCCCTCCTCAAGGCGCTGTTCTCGGGTATTTTGCTGCTGCATCTGCCTCAGTTTATGAGCAAGAGTGAGAAGTGTGGGCACTCCCTCATCACCGACCTCAGTTTCTCTGTTTCCCCGTCCTTCTGATTGCAATGGAGAGGTATTTTTCCTGTGTTGCAAATCATGTCAACTCTTGTTCCCAATCAGGCCATCCTGTTTTTCCATCTCTGTCTTTCAAACTTTCCACCTTCTCTGGGTGTTGCCTGCAAGGTCTCCCCTGCCACAAAGTGTCTTCTCTTTGCCTTCCTCCTCTTTCAGGATCCCATTTTGTTTTGTCTTCTGTCTACTCCAAAATATCCAAAATTAGCAGTTTCATTTATTTATTATGGATTGCAGACAATTCTCACAATAATCCCGCTGAGAGACATGTCTTTCCTGCTGTGCATGTGATGGATGAGGAAGATGAAGTCCAGAATGGGTGAGAAATATTCCAGGGATGGGCAGCCAGCAATGACTGAGTGCCAAGCATATCATGCCATTTGAACAGGGACACACCAGGCAACTACTGGCCTTACCTCACAGGGAGGAAGTTGAGTGCCAGGGGTTCACATGACCTACATCACCTGCCCCCCACTCCATCCATTTTGGTGACTGAAGCATGGTGTTGTATCTGGGGCAATATGAGGCCACCCATGCTCAGACACATCAGAGTTCCAGATGAAGAATTGCATTCTCCATGCAAAGCTGATTTTGCCCTTCCACAAGGCCAGAAGCTCCCACCCTCCTCCAAGATTAGAGGAGGAGCCAGGCAGGGGGCAGAGGGCTACACCACCACTAATCCTGCCAAATACTCTACAGGCCCTAGGCAGCCACACTACACTTCCAAAGCCAGTTTGGACACTGACACCCCTCATTTCCTACCAAGAAAAGCATGATTATTCTGGCAGAAAAAAGTAGCTTCCAAAATCCAAACTGGCAAAAAGATGAGATTACTCATGAAAAAGTTCCAGATGACCCTTTGATAGGCCAGTTCTGATATCCTGTATGGGGTACCTACCCAGGGTGAAAACACAAGATCCTTTACTCATCAAATACACACATGCGGGTTTGCAGGTGCAGACCATCAACACACACTTTTACATGCTTAAGTATAAATTCACAGACATATGTGTGTATGCATACTCTTGCACATACTCGTGTGCGTATAGACAGCACACATATACACAAACATACACATAAGCACATGCATATGCACATTTGTTGTATGATATATTATCTCAAGGAGCAACCTATGTACGGTAATTGTTTTTACATTTTCAGGTCATGGAACCATGAAAGCAATAAAGTTACCAGCCAGAAAGTTGAACAAATACAATATCTGATTCACTCTGCCATTTCTGGTCATAATATTCCTGTCATGGGAGCCAGGCAGCGAAGAGAGAAGGTTGGAGCTGAGGAGGAGACACACCCTTCCAGGTCATGCCCTGCCTCTTCTGTACAGCTCCAACTCCCAAATAGCAAATCTAGTCCTGAGCCCATAGGTGGATTAATACACCACCGAGTATAGTACCTCGATCCATTACCTTCCAAAGGCCCTGCCTCTGAATATTTGAGCTTCTGGGGAGACACTAGATCTAAACCCTGACATATACAGAGGTACCACCTGTCACCACCTCCAGAGTGCCTGGAGCAGGGGCTGTATGGCAGTTGCAGGGAATGGGTGCCCCAGAGTGACATCCTAAACCTACCAACATGCCATTTAACTTAGCTCTAATCCCTGGAATTCCTGACCAGACCTTTGTGGCTAAGACCTGTGGGAAGCCACCTTTGCGGAAAGCCAAAATATCCAAGTAACTCTTTTCGTGATCTATTTGGGGTGAAAAAATCATTAAGTTGGAAAGTGATGATCTCAGCAGTGGCAAAAGGCATGAGGTTTTGTGATGGCTGAAAGTTGAATTCCTGAGGCAAGCCTGTGGATGACGTGTTGCCATGGCTGCCGGCACCTTTCAGGTGACCTAGAAGATAGCGTCTGTCCCCACAGACACCCTCAGTGGTTCCCCAGGATGCTGGCCTGCCAAGATCCATAAATGGTGTCTCCCTCAAGCATCCCCATCTCATCTAACTGTCACCGTTTCCTACTCTCCCTGGCTCACTGACCCTGGCTTGGAACTGATAGAAATGGCCCAGTTCCCCAACACCAACTCCCTGTAAATACAGGATCACTCTACCCTCACAGCCAAAGCATTCCTCTGAAACTCAGACTATCCAAGCAAAGCCTGTCTGAGCTCCCAAAACCTGCAGAAACCAAATAAGATCTCTATGTGGACATGGCCGGGAGACACCAGGAGCCAGGAGGAAGGATCAAGGTTATGGCCCTGTTCTGGAAGCTCTACCCCAGCTGTCAATGATATTCTCTGGTTACTGGAGAAGGAAGGCATCCATTATTACGCTGGCCCATTTCTTCCCCATGGCTAGGGTCTGTGCCAGGGATGTGTTGGTACACTGGCTCCTGACTGTCTTGTGTAGGCTCAGTCCCAGACCACGATCTAAGGTGCGTGAGTGATAGATTGCATGGTGAGCGTGGGCAGCAGGAAGAGTCACATGGAGCCTTTCTTTCCCATAACTGGTAGCTTCTAGGGTTCCTCATGCCCAAGCAGGTCACTGAGATACTGGATTTTGTCTTGGACATGCAGCTGATGTGCCCAGGGCGATCAGCAAGAGACAACCATATGCCAGAATGCGTCTGTGTGCCTACAAAGCATCAAATGATGGAAAAACTCTGCATGTATGAGACACGGGTTTCTGTTAATGTCCAGCCGCTGAGTACTATTACCATGTTGTAAGTGGTTTTCTTTCTTCAAGAAAAGACAAATTAAGCTTTCCGAAATAACTGCCCCTGCTCTCAGTCCAGCCAGAACTCTGTCCTTTGGTGTTTTATTTCTAAGCTTCTCAGAGACTCCCTCATTTATGCAAAGTGTGGGACTCTCTGCCGCCCTCCTGGTCAGGGGCCAGAGTCCTGTTCCACCACATGGACACCCTGTCACCTCAGAAAGCCCTCCTCCATCCATCACTGCCCAGCCTGCCCATCCCATCTGACTGCAGTGAGATACTTGTTTCCCTCCCTCCCTCCCTCCCTCCCTTCCTCCTCCTCTTCCACCTCCTTCTCTCCATTCTCCTTGTCTCTCTTTGCCTCGTGCTCTTTTTTTCCCCTGTGTTTGACTGACTCACCGCAATACTCAGAGTTCCCTGGTCAGCTGGGGCTGCTGCTGCCCTCCCCAGCAGCCCTCCGCCCCCACCTGGGCAGTCTGGTTGTGTGCGAAGAGCTGACCTGCTCCCCGTCTGCCAGGCCTTCATGCAGCAGGCTAAGGAGAGACCCTGCTCTCTCTGCCTGTGTGAAAGATTGCACCAGGGGTGTCTGCCAGGGTCACGGCAGGATCCTCTCCCCTGGCTGAAAGTGAGAAGCCAAGCGAGTGGGACTTGCCAAAGGAGGCTGTGCAGCGCACAGCAAGGCCTTTGGCGGTAGAGACCAAGATGATAGCGTTGCTCTCTCCCAGGACCTTGGATCTGTTCTCAGTCTCTGGTGGGACAGCAACCAGTAACTAAGTGGTGTGCTTGAGACCTTTCCGGAGGCAAAACATCTTTCTGTTTGGAATTTTCTCCCTTCCCCCCAGCAGAAACCCTGCTAATTCCTTTTAAAAAAGGGAAAGCGATTCATTTATAGAAAACCTTTTTATAATTTATTTCCTGTATTAATCTTCAAAGTATAAAAATGAGGTTCTAGCTAAATTCAGGGTCTCAGTGGTGAAATTTTGACCATGTGAACAAATAAATAAATATTTACAATCTTTGGCAAAACAAAGCTTCATTACGCTAAATGAGAAACTTGTTTAAAAAAAAACAAATAATTTACAAAAAAAAAAACTATGGTACATTCTAAGTATTCACATCATCACCCCCATGGTACTGTTGGACCAAACGCCCCCAAGACAGAGGCCTACGCACTCTTCACAATTGTCACATTTAATGAAGTCTCCCAACCCTTTGCTGGCTATGGGAATACAGTTCCACAAAAATGAGAAGTGAAGCAAACCAAGAGTACCAACCTCAAAGGAAGCAAAAAATAATTTTATCAAAATGAAATACTCTGGAAGTTAAGACAAAAGTTATGGGTTCTATTTGACCTAGAAATGTAGCACAATTATGAGAGAGAAGAGAGATTGGTCCCATGTCAGACAGACAAGACAAGCTTCCACTAACCCCTCACGTGCAGTAGGACAAAATAAAAACTGCAGACAGAGAAGCTCAAAATCAGACTTGAATCAGACTTGTGTCTGTTCCTGTGATTGGTTATTGGGTGTGCTGACAAGATTATTCTTCAGCATTCAAATTTTAAAAACTATGTACATCAGATAGATAATAGTGGGAAAAAACTGTACTAAAATCACTAGCAACAGAATATATTAAGGTTTCATTATGAAGTCGTCAATATTATTTATTTGGCCTATTACATCTTACAGCAGGCTTTATCGTGACAACATAGTATTATAAAGCCTTGCGTTTCAACAGGCAGATGCTTTGTGGTAACTGTATCTTCATATTATTATATCCTTGTTACATGTTTATTTCTAGAAATTACACTACATATGTGTTACTTAGCATGTTTAAAATAAGTTATTGGTGAGTGGAGCTGCATTCTCTGGTCTTTTTAATAAATATTAACAAAACACATAACTCGAACCTCAGAGAAATGTGTTCCTACATTAAGTAAAAGCAAACTTTTCCATAGCTTCCAAAGCCTAGAACAGGAACAAGATGCCAGCATGCACAGCTGTCTTGTTTATCAGGTCAGCTGCTCTGCAGGAACTGAGATCAAGAAAGAAGCCCCAAGCAAACATCCCTGTGGTCAGGCTGCAGAGCCAGAGGACCACTGGCCGGGAGAGAAAGCTCACAGCCCACTCAGCAGGAGCAGCTGGCTGACATGACCCTTGTCACTCTGCTTGCCTTTCCCTCCATGGCTGTGCCAAGCCTGCAGTGGGGTCACGAGAGCTCCTCTGTGCAGGGACCTTCTCTTTGATAGAGCTCCATCTCTGTCAAACATGAGGCTCCTATTGTGGGACAGGAGGAGAAAGGGGAAGAAATTGGCTTAATTCTCTAACTACTTTCTCTGCTCCATTGAGTCGATCTGTATTTCCCAGCATCCCGTATTGGGCCACAGAATCACGTGACAGTTATTTCCTAATCCTGTCCTTGCTGTGGCATTGCTTCAAGCTCTGCTTGACCCTTCCTTATGGTTGACCTGAAGGACGTGTGTGTTATGTGAAACAGCACTAATCCAAGAATAGTGAAAACATTAAGCACTGAAAATAGCTGAGCAATAGTTTCCATGCTTAATTTATAATAATGGCTTATGCACAATATTCCCTTCAACTTCATATACATATAAATACAATAAGTAATTACATTTCACATGTAAACATCATTCTTTTTAAACAAACAAGCAAAAGGAATGCAATGTCATGCCCAATTTTCACTCCACACAAAATCTCCTCTGTCATCAAACTTTTCCAGTAGAAGGTTAGATGTGCATCTCTGGGTTCCAATCATGGTTGTCATCTGAAGGCACTTGGACTTGGGACTGATGAAGGAGCTGAAGAACCACTCAAAATCAAGGTCAAGGAGCACTGAGTGCCACAAAAGAGAGAAAATCTACAAGTACCGGGGTGCACTGAGATGTCTAAGTAACAGCCTTTGTAGCACATTTCTGGAAATCCAGCACGGCTTATCTAGACATCTAAAAGAAAAGCAGTAAACAGAATTAGGGGGGCTGAACCATGGGGCTTGTTGTACTGTTTCACCTATAACCTGAGTATCGTTTAACTAAAACTGACAACAATTGGCAAGCTCACTGGCTGATGAAAGTATGGAAGGGTAGAAGGAAGGAAGGCAGAATGGAAGAAAGGAAGGAAAGAAGGAAGGAAGGGAGGGAGGAGAGAGGGAGAGAGGAAGGGAGGGAGAGAGGATGAGATGATAGAAGGATAGATGAGTGGATGAAAAGTTAGTTGAAAGGATAGATGGGTGGATGGATGAATGGATGATTGCACGGATGGATGGGTGGATGGATGAATGGATGGTTGCACGGATGGATGGGTGGATGGATGAATGGATGGTTGCACGGATGGATGGGTAGATGGATGAATGGATGGCTGCACGGATGGATGGGTGGATGGATGAATGGATGGTTGCACGGATGGATGGGTGGATGAATGAATGGAAATGGAAATGGAAGAATGGAATGATTCAGGGAACGATGGATGGGAAATGAATGGAATGATGAACTCAAGGAAAAATGGGTGGAAAGATGGATAGATGGAAGGGCAGATGAACAAATGGAAGGAAGGATGGATGGACAGAATGATGAGTGGAAATATACAGATGGACTGATGGGTGATAAATGAAAGAATAGAATAATAGAAAGGTGGGAAGACAGATGGGAGGGAGGAAGGGGGAAAAAGAAGGGAGAAAGAGAAGGAGGGAAAGAGGGAGGGAGGGATGATGGAAGGAAAGATAGAAGAATAGATGGGATGGTGAATGAATGAGTGGACTAGTGAGTGGAAATACAGAAGGGCTGATGGTTGGATAGACGGAAGGATGGATGGAAGGACAAATGAAATGATGGAAAGGCAGGAAGATGGAAGATGGATGAATGCTTTGGATTGTGGGTAGATGGAAATATGATTGTATTGAAATGCATTCTCACAAAAGGTAGAATGAAGCTTTATGATTTGCAATGTGTGATTTTTGAAAATCAGATCTGAAACTCACCTGTAGAAAACATGGCATTAGAGAAGGTGAGAGTACAACTGGATTATAATAGTTTAATTCAAATACACACCTAGAAATATAACTAAAATGAAACTCTTCTATCCCTATCCCTCTAAGAAGGGATAAATATACAGTAATCTATAGAATTTAGTAGAGTAAGAAGTACTCTGTAGATAATCAGAAAGCGTTCATTCGGCACACCACTGTCACAGATGTGTGGGTCAGTGGAATGGAACGGAACCGAGAACACAGAAACCTTCCCAGACACATCCATCTATCTAATCTTTGAAAAGGAGCCAAAAGCATACACTGGAGGAAAGACGTCCTATGCAACAAATGGACTGGAAAATTGGCACCTGATTCCAAAAGTTTGACCCCTATCTTGCATAATGCAATAAACTGAAATCAAAATAGATCAAAGATCTAAACATTAAAACAGAAACAATAAACCTACTGGAAGGTAAAACGGGCAAAATACTTGAAGCTATAGGCATAGAAAATGATTTTTAAGCAAATCCAAACTACTCAAGAAGTGACAGCAAGAGTCAACAAATGGTTTTACACCAAATTTTAAAACTTCACAGAAAAGGAATCAATTGGTAGACAACTTACAAAATGGGAAAAAATTTTGCCAGCTATTTCTCAGACAGAGAGCTAATATCTAGAATATAAAAAGAACTTTAAAAATTAGACCATCTAAAATAAATCAGCAATCAAGAAATAAAAATACCCAATCAAGAGATGGAGAAGTCAAATGGACAGACACTTCTCAGAAAAGAAGTGCACATGGCCAGTAAACATACAAGAAGATGTTCAACACCTCTGGTCAACACAAGGATCCCATCACATCCCAGAAATGATGGCTACCATAAAGTCAGAGAATAAGAAATCCTGGAGAGGCTATGGTAAAAATAAAACACTACTATGCTGCTGGTGAGAATGTACGCTAGAACAACCACTATGGGAATCAGGTGTGGAGGCTCCTCAAGAAGCTAAAATTAGAAGCTCCATATGACTGAGCTGTTCTTCTTCTAAGGAATCTTCCCCAAAAAGCTTAGCATATCATTCTACAGCAATATGTGCATACTAACATTCATGCAGCACAATTCATAAAACCTGAGTCCTGAAAGCAGCCTGTCTAACAACAGATGAAAAGATAAAGCAAACGTGGAACTTGCATATAATGGAATACTGCTTGGCTAGAAAGAATAAACAGTGAATGAAAGAAAACAAAAAAACAGATCTCTTACAAATGCAAAGAGGTTTAGGAGACAGAGGGTGTGGGGAAGGGAAGGAACCAGAATTAAGCTATGCTGTGTATAGGAAGCTAATGGTTCTGTAAACATTATATATTACAAAAATGAAGTAAGATTAATAATAGCAAGGAGGAGGAAAATGGAGGAAGAGGATTTAGAGGCCGAGGGAGGAAGATACTGTAGGTAAGAAGGAGAAGAAGAAGAAGAAACAAACTATTTTATGTACTGGTACCCACTCCCCAAGATAAATGTAAACTTCACATGCTGCAAACACGTGCTAATAACAAAAATGGGGAAATAAAACTCCCAGGGAGAGTAAAGCCTGAAGTACACAAACACAGCACATAGAAATGAGAGCCTTTGAGTTCTGATGAGAACCACCGTAAGCAACTTAGTTATTGCTTCCGATTCATCTGCTTCTTAGCTCCTTTCCTCCTATCTGTCCTCAATTTCAAACTCAATTTAAGCTAAGATTTCTAAACTCTAGAGAATCCTGATAGACCAATCCAATTTATTTTCTTTTCTTATTTTCCCTTCAGTCTGTCACAACATCAGTATTTGGAAATTACTTAAAGCCACAGTTTAATATCCAAAGGCAGCATAAAATTCACCACTCCCGAGTTCATGCAATTCGAGGCTCAAGTCGCAGTGTGATTTAGAAATGAGAGACTTCTGTAATCTTTTCAGACTAGTATTAAAATGTCTCATAGAAATAAAGCTTTCAAAAAAGTGAAAAAGAAAGTGTTCTCCCAAAATCATTATTTCAATTTGAAACAATAAAGAAACAAACCAAATGAACTCTGAGATGTCCAAACACAACCTCTAGGAAGACACACGGGCTTACACCTGGGGTCCCAGTCCAGCTCACAGGAGGGCAACCCAGAGGGCAATCTCCCCCCACCACTCACCTCTGCACTCGTACTTGAGGTCCGAGAAGTAGACCATTTCTTGAGAGAAGACAAACAGACCCAGTCTCCCGCCAGAGTAGGTTTGGTCATAGATTGGTCCCGAGTCAGCCATGACCTGCTTCCCTTCATACACCAAGACTCTGAAAACATGGGCATGGGGGAGGAAGAGAACTCAAATCTGGGAAGCACGTTAACCAGGGCTGCAGGCTTTACAGGTCATGCAGGATTCCAAGCGGACCAAAAGGGATCTAGAATTCCTGGTGCTAGGGATGGAACCCAGGGCTTCACACACATTAAGCAAGCACTCTTACCAAGCCACACTTCCGGCCAGACACAGAGGAGTATGAACCACACACCCTGCTCAGGCTTCTGAGGCCTAGCTGGGCCTGACCTCCCTCACAAGCCTTGCACGGTGCTCTTTAAGGGCTTCCTTTCCTTCCTCTAATCCCTACCACTCCATACTAAGGAGTACAGACAACTGCTGATGCCACTTGCAGCAGTGTCTGTCTTTAGGAGCCAAGGAAGAGGATGGATGGTGAGAGGCATTTCTTAGCGGCCTCTGAGACAGGCTCCCTTCCTCTTTCTGGGCACAAGCCCTTCCCACAAGCAAAGCTTTGTGCGGACAGGAGTCCACTCTCCCGGCCTGCTCAGCATGAAGCAGGAGCACTCCATAAGAGGATGGAGGGGGAGCAGAGGGAAGAAGGAGAGAGGGAAGATGGAGAGCAAATGGATCTCATAAGTCAACAGATGGAACCCATCCAAGGGACATTACACACAACTCACTCACACATTCTATCTGCAAGAACCCCACACCCCTGGCATCTCTAAAGAAGCCAGGTGAAGTGGTCACATGTAAAACCTTGGGTTCAATCCCCCAAGAAGTACACACACACACACACACACACACACACACACACACACACACACGGAGAGAGAGAGACAGAGGCAGAGCATCCAACTGGTACAATAGAATCTTACCAACTTTTTGAAGGATGGAAAGAGAGGGCAGGGGAGGGGAGAGAGGGAAAAGAAGAGACTTTAAATTGTTCTGATTTTGTTTTAACCAAAATCTATTACAAATGCTATTAGGCCAAGGCCACAAAATTCTTTGGCCTGATATCCATGAGAGTTTTATTCACCTATGTGACTTCAAACCCAGTGACCCAGACATCAGAAACAGCCAGGATCTGAGCGCAGGTGGGTTTGGCAAAAACGCAGTGACTCCACTGTGGCTTCCATGACAACCCCACAGCGCTCCTCAGGAAGAAGCCTGCCACCTCCATGCTCCCTTAATGAGACAAACTGTGCTCTCTCCTTCCCAGAAGTTTTTAATTTTAAACATTGTGAATAGCAAAGACGCAACATAGAAAAAGAAAGGCATTAAGAATCCAGAAGAGGACACCAAAGTCAAAATTGCTCTGTTAAACCCCAAACTCTCCATGGGAGCCATCGCCAGCACAAAGGTAGCTGCTTTGAGCTGTGCTTACCTCATGTACCCCGTCTTAGGTCTGTGAATCAGATGCCACCGGTAGGCAGTGTAATCCTTCCAGCCAATGTTTTTGGGATCATGCCACAACGTCCTCACCTGGGGAAAAGGCATCACCTGGAGTCATTGTAGCCCAAATGTCCACCATGGCCTCACACACAGGGTGGAAACGGACCGTGACTCTGCGAGGTCACCCTGCGTCCAGCTGCCTGGCCCTCTGACATGCCCTCCACTGGACACAGCACTCAAAGGCTCTTAATCGCTCCCACTCTGCTCTGAACTTGCCAAGCACTGTGTAATATCACCATGAATGCATCACTTGGCTGTGGTTCAGCTCTGAGAGCAGCCTTTGGCCAGACACAGGGTTTGGGATCAGGACCACAAGCTCCTTTGACCCATGACTGTGGCCAAAGCTTGAACTTTGTGGGCAAAGCTCTCCTTGTCATTAGAGCAATATAGAAATATGTGTAATCTGCAAGATATATTTTCCAATAGTGTTGATAGAATCACAAGGCATGCCTTTAATAAAACAGGTGCTCCATAGCAATAATGTAAATGACCACCGCCTGAGTTAGAGCCCCTGGCAACAGACAGATGCCCTCTATGGGCTGAGCTGAGGGCACACAGCAGTGCCCAGGGGCATGGCAGCTGCCAGCCTCACCTGCCCCTCCGTGTTCCCCGTGTGCCACAGTGCGTTCCGCAGGTGCTCTCCAGTGCCCGTCGTGGAGTTGACCACCTTGAGCGACACCCCTGAGTAGCCATAGGCCCGGCTGGGCTGGTCCTCCCAGTAGGTCTGGGTCACCTGCTTCCACATCACCACATAGAATCGGCTGCTGGACTGGTATCCAAAGACGAAGCCTGCATAGTCATCATCCCGGTCTGTGTTCACGTAGAATGTGCCACTGAAGTCCACCGACCCAAACTCGTCAAAACCTGGATGTAAGGGATGTGTGGTCACAACATCAGCGGGACTCTAGGGGGCCCAGACTGGCACCTGACCATGGGAAAGTGGTTTCTTTTCTCATCCAACCCACATTCTTTACGGAGAGAACAGTGTATTTAAACCCAACATAGACAGTCACATTGTCTGATGTACCATGGAGTAGCCACAGTCCACGCAATGAAACAGCCAGCCAAGGGTGACTCTTCAGAGGCAGACACAGGCTTCTCCGAATTCTACTACAGAGTTCATGTAGGCTGACAGTCTCCCACACAAGAAAGGCTGGAGTGCTACAAATTCCCACTGATTGCATTTGCAAGGACCCGCACACCTCGGTGGTCACTGGGGGGCATCTCCTGGGATATCACAGGCTTACCTACAGCGATGCCAGGATCTGAGTTTGCTGTCTGAACCAGCTCCTTGCCTTGGTGACGGATGACCCAATTGGGATCGATCTGGGTGGTCCCTTTGGGGTCCAAGGGAACCATCTGGAAGTTCCTGAAGTCAGTCTCACTGATGGCATTGTTTTCAGGGCACACATCATCGATGTCTGGTACATTGTCATTATCAAAGTCTTCTTTACAAATATCACCCCGCCCATCACCTATTTTAAAAGAACAAACAAAAGCCAGGAGACAAAGTGTGTGGCTTACCATTTGCCTCCATAGTGTGAGCCCCAAGAGCGCTTGGTCTGAAGCCAGCAGCTGAGTCCTGGCAGTGACATACAAGCGGATGCTCTAGTCTCTGAGCATCCATCACAAGTGCTCTGAGCAGTCTCTGTCTGCCGTGCCATCCTGCGGCTGCTCATGACCAGCACTCAGCCAGGACCACAAGCTGAAACCCTCAAGAACCACTGCCCCCTTGCCCTGAGGGAAGAGACCTGTTCCACAGGGTCCCACTGAACTCTTGGCATTTAAAACTCTTACACTGAGCTGGAGGAACTTGGACTCCCTCTGGTAGGAGCCCTTCTGGCTGGATCCTCAGCTGGGCTGTGGCTGGATGGGCCACATGTCACTAGTTTGCAGAGGGTGGACCATGGACTGGTGTGGTCAACCTGCCCCCGCCTGTTTACTTGTTTCATAGGAAAGAAAAGATACCAAATCTCACTCCAAGTTTGACATCCTGATACCCAAGTACTTTTCACACTGATTTCCTTCTCTTCAATATCACATCCCTTATTGTGTGAAGGCACAGGACCACCTAAAAAGACTTTTCGAAAACTCTGAGACCCTTTCCTTTGGGAGCCCCCTTACCCATCGAGCCTCTGTAGAAGCTCTGTTCCCCTGATCTGCTCAGCCCAGCTTGGCATTTTCCCATCGGACCTCAGCGAGACCTTCCCATGCTCCTGAGTCTGGTTGGCTCAGCCCCAAAGATTCCTGATCCTCATCCACTAAGGGACCTGGACAGAAAATCTGCTCTGACAGCTATCTATGCACAGCCCCAGAGGTCACAGAGCGCTCCTCAAAGATATGGATCTGCAGGGAGGCATGTTGACCCCACTTATTCATGCGGTCCTTCTCCTTATGCTCACACTCCCCCTAGTCTGTGTTCTCTGCCCCCAAATCCTTCCTGTGTCCTCTCTAGCCTAATTCACCCGCATTTTCTAAGGGATTGTTAAAGCTCTAAAAATTACATAGATGCTGGATTTTTCTTTATCCCGATATGTGTAGACAGACATCACAAGATACCTATGGCCAGGTGAATAATGCACAGACTGAGGGGCTGGGCAGGTAGGAGTCCCTGTGCCCAGGGCGCTCACATGGATAGAGTTGAGGGAGGGCACCCACCATCTGAGTCCTCCTGGTCAGGGTTGGATACCAGCCGGCAGTTGTCCCTGTCATCTGGAATCCCGTCATTGTCATCATCAGGGTCACAGGCATCACCCTTGCCGTCATTGTCATGGTCCGCTTGGTTGGCGTTGGAAATGTAGGGGCAGTTGTCTTGGTTGTTCTGGTGGCCATCATCATCTATGTCTTCATTGTTATCACACTGGTCTCCCACAAGGTCATTGTCCAGGTCCGTCTGAGAAACAGAGCCAAGGGAAAGTCGGGTAAGCCCCTCTCTAAGGATGTGCCCAGCCGAGCTGGCCCAGCACCCCCAAAATTCTCAGAGAAGAAGCACTGGGCAAAGCTTGCTCCACTGCCCTCACCAGCACCAAGCCAGACTCCAGCTCAGATCTTCCCAGTTTGCTACCTCCCAGCAGGAGGTGCCTTACTCAGGGGACAGTATGGTCCCCTCACAGGAAAGAGTGAGCAGGATACAGGGCAGTCTCTGTACATAGCTTCCAGGGTGCTCCTGGGAACCCTGTGGCAGGTTTGCTCTCCCTGTCTCTTCCACAGCACTTGGGGGTGAGGCGAACGCCTGTGCTCACATCAAGGAAACACTGAGTGTGACATGGAGATGCAGCCTCCTTATCCAGAGCAGGCTGGCCTAAGGCCACTGAGATGCCAGAATGGTGCTGAGAATTAGGATAAATAAAACATTAAGTCTTGGCCAAACCAATGGGAATCCCAGAGCGCATCTCTATGTAGTTGCTGAGGACCCACACCCACCCTGTTCACTCACAAGCTCCCTGTTACCTGATCAGGATTGTGCATCAGGGGGCAGTTGTCACAGTGGTCACCCACACCATCGCCATCCGTGTCTCTCTGGTCAGTATTGTAGACGTAGGGACAGTTGTCTCTTTCATTGAAGACGTCTGTGGCATTCAGGGAAAGCAGCAACAGGCTGGGTTTAGGAAAGGGTTATTGCTTTTCCTGTGGTGCAAACAATATAGGGCCAAACTTTTGTGTAATAATAGCTAAAGAAACTATGTCAGATTGTGAAGGTGGTCCAATTTGTGGAAGAGGAGACAGGGGAGGGAAGAGCAGCTGCTGCCTAGGCAGGGCTTTCCTGGTCCCTGAACTCCTTTAGACCTTAGGGCTCCATCCTAAAAGCCAGCAGGTCTTGGGTAGTGTCAACTGCAGTGGTGGCAGAGGTCACAGGGCACATCTACACCTTCCACCAAAGGGAGAAGCTTGTCAGTGACGATGCAGAAAAGGAATGGAGCTAGAAATGTCCCAGGTCCCCAAAAGGTCCTCTGAGATCTTTCTCAGAGGCACTTTGACCTAGCAAGGGTTCAGGGTTCTTGGGGTTCTGGACAGAAGATGCCTTGCAAAAGATACTATGAACTGTATGGAACCAGAGATCTCTAGGCTGCATATGGAGAGGAGACACAGCCAGGGGCCTCAGTGCAAACCGAGCTACTCAAGGAACTGTTTCATCCCCGGTTGGCAGTTAGAGGAAGAACCTTCCCAAAAAAACTCAGAATAGAAGCCCTCAAGAATACACCCATGAAGTTGGGCTCAGAACCCCTCAGGTGCCAACCCCCAAATAATAGGCCCCCTGGACTTCCATCCACAGTGAGTTGGGGCCTCAGATGCAGCCCTGGAGGGCCACTGACCATCGCCATCAATGTCCACGGAGCAGGCATCTCCCTCGCCGTTGCTGTCTGTATCAATCTGAGCAGGGTTGTGCACATAGGGGCAGTTGTCACAGCGGTCCCCAACCTCATCCTTGTCATAATCAGACTGCCGGGGGTTGAACAGCAGCTGGCAATTGTCCTAAAGCCACAAGAGACGACTTAAGAAAGGGCATGTGATGTCTGTGGAGTCACATAAAAAGGATTAGAATTTACAAGTTCAACACTCATAATAGACCAACATATCAGCGCAAAGGCAAAGAAAGCAAGGATCATCAGCCCTCACCAACATCTGCTGAATTCTCAATTTTCTAATTATTTATGTACCCGCTCTCTGCCTATGATTCCAAGGTGTCCCATGATGAAGATGACATTCCTTCTGCTTCACAGTGAAGTCAGAATGGGTGACTGTATGGATGGATGGATGGATGGATGAATGGATGGATGGATGGATGGAAGTTGGGTGTGTGAATGCCCTGAACAAAATCACAATGATCCACTTTTGCCGGGCTCACATTGGTGCCAACATGCAAAATTGTCAGTAGGTACCCATCAAGGCTAAGGGGAATGCCAATCCCTGATGCCTCAATTTAAGGAAGGGACATAAATAAATGTGCCCTTTCTACACAATTAGAAGTAAATCATACTGAGCACACTGGCTTGTAAAGCCCCGTAGGGGCCCATGCTCCAGTGGATATACTACTGCAAATGCCATGCTGTGTCTGTTCCTGCTTGGGAATCACTCACACACAGAAACACACTGAGATAATAGCACTACAAGGGCTGCTCGGTGCAAAATGCTAATCTCAAGTGGGCATGGTGGTTCACATCTGCTAACACCAGCACTTTGAGGGGCTGTGGATGAGTTCTAACCCATTCTGGAAAACTTACGGGCTTAGCAAGACTGTGTGTTACTAAGAAAATAGAAAACAGAAAAAGGCCTGGGATGTAGCTTGGTGGGAAGGCCTTGGGTTCGATCTCTAGTACTGCGAGAGGAAGGAAGGGGAGGGGAGGGAAGAGCAGAGCTGTCTCCCTGTGGCCTCTGCCCCTGAGCCCAGAGCAGCTGTCACAGCCACCTTGCCTTACCTTCTCATCCCTCACTCCATCATTGTCATCATCCTCGTCACAGGCATCTCCAACTCCATCCTTGTCAAAATCTTCCTGGCCAGAATTGGGGAGCTGCGGGCAGTTGTCCTATAATGACAAAAGACACAATCATATTAAAACATTCAGAAAATGTCCTTCTTCCCACATAAGGGTCAACCCAAACAGCAAGTATGGTGTCACAAGCATGAAGTGGGACATCAGTCCTCAGCAGGAAGCAGAGAAACAGGCCCATGCCACTGGTCCTATCCTAGGATTCTTGTCATCAGTGTCAGTGAACTGAGATAAAACCACTGTGTCCTGAGCCATGATTGGAGGAAATCTGTGACTCCAACATGCTGTCACCAAATGAGGGAGCACACATGGGGCACAGGAGGAAACTAGACAACTAGAGTTGCCTGTTGTTTAGACCAAATGCACTCTTCCCACGTTGGTCCTAGTCCCTTGCCAAGATGTAGACCCAGAGTGTCCCCTAAAGACCCAGATATTCAAGGCTTGGTCCCAGCCTCTGGCACCACAGGGAGAGAGAGGTACAGCCTTAAGGAGGTGAGTCTATAGGGAGGAAGTGAGGTTCCTAGGGGTGCTCTTGGAGAGGACACTGGGACCCAGCCCTTCCTTTCTCTCTGTCTCTGCTTCCTGGTTGCCATGAGATGAGCAATCTCCTCTGCCCCATGGTCCTCCATGTTGTGTAGAAAAGTTCGTATCAGGAAAGCAGCTAAGCAAGCTCCTCCAGGAGATCCCATGGTCACAGGAGAACCCATAGCACCACACAACAGCACTCTTCCTCTCCAGGTGTCCTTCCTATGCTGGCAGCAGTCCTCAGGGGGGGTCACCTACACTCAGCACCATGCTGATTCGGTTCAGCTAGTGTTTGAGTTGACCATCAGTTTCAACCCACCACACTCACCAATGGCCTAATGGAGCCAAGGGACCACAGACTGAACCCTCTGACTACAAAGCAAAGTTGATCTCTGGCTTGCTAAGTTGGTTAGCTTGGGTATTTTAGTACAGTGACAAAAGCTGACCAACTCGTCCTGACTGAGAGGACTCTCCACTGTGGGAGGAAGCTGAGTAGGGGCTGTGTTGGTGCAGATCTGAATCCTCTGGGTCTCAGGCCTCACCTTGATGCAGTGGTAGGTAGCATTGGTGGCACAGACCAGGTTGCTGTTGGGCCAGCCGTCCAGGTCCGAGTCCTCCCCGCAGATAAGCCCATCGCCTGCATAGCCTATCTGGCACTCGCACTTGTACATGGGGTCGCTGAAGTGGCCCAGGTAGATGCACTCCGCATGCCGGTGGCAGTTGTGTGTCTTGTCCTTACAAGGGTTTTCAGGCTCGCACACCTGGGGGCCCAAAGACACATGGGTCATGGGCTGGAACACACAGGATGGGCTGAGATGAAGCACAGGAGTAACCCCAGAGGGGAAGGGGAGAGTATGTTCAGGTGCAAGTCCAACAACTGAGAGCTCTATTCCTTTGGGAAGTGGTCCTGAGCAGTCTACTGTAGTCCCCGAGCTGTGGGAAACATTTCTGAGCAGCTTGTGAGTTAGGGTGTGCTGTTCATTGCTATGGCTTGAACATGTCTTCGCAGAGCATGTGCAGAAATGTATACTAAGGTGATTCAGGGCCCAAGGGTCCCAGGGTCCCAATCGTGCTGACTGCAAGTCCCGTGACTGCGAGCTCAGTCTGGGCCTTTCGTGCACTCTCTGCCCTCTGTCTCCCACCTGAGTGACACAATACGGGGGAGGGGGCCTCACCAGATCACCCCACCCCAGCTAGGACTTCCAGGCTCCAGAACGGTACAAATAAGTCTCTCTTCTTTATAAGCTACCTATAGATTGCTATAGCCACACAAAATTAACTAAAACCTTATCGACAAAGGAGAAAATCATGACACCAATGCTCACATACTGCTGCATGAAAACTCAGATCTGAATTCCTCCGAGGCCGTCGTGGGAGGGGGATGGATGGGGTTCAGGCAGCCTAGTTTGGGGAAAGGTAGGTGGCTCCCAAGATCTCACCAACAGTGCTACTAACCTCCCTCTTCCCTGTCCCACCTCCACTTCTCTGGGCTCAATTCACCTTTTTTTCCTTGCCTGTGCCAACATTCAAGGAAGGCTCATCTAGCTCACCTGCTTTTCTGTCTTGGCAGCCTCCAGGCCTACTGCAAAGGGCTGGGTGCCCTTGTAGCGTGGTGGGCAGGGCAGGCAGTGGAAGCCAGGCTGGGTGTTGATGCAGCGGGAAGCTTTGTTGGTAGAGAAGCAGATGTCTGCCACCACAGCACACTACGGGGACAAGAGACGTGAGCCCAGCCCTCTGATCCCCACAAGGCTCCACTGCCCACAGACGGGGAACCCACCTCGTCCAGGTCTTCACAGTGAGTCCCATTGCCCACGAACCCCACTGGGCAGGAGCCGCAGGACCAGGATCCATCCGGGAAGCTGTTACACGCGGCCCCAGGGAAGCAGGGGTTGGACAAGCACCCATCTGTGGGAGAGGCCGGCAGAGCTGAGGTCAAGGTGCAAGCAGCACCTGACCAGCTCAGCTCAAAGCATTGCAAAAGGAAGCTCATCCCTGTGTCTGTCACCTGCGCCGCCTTGTGAGGTGCCTGGGTCATGGAAACCTACTAATCATCCAAGAATTAGTCTACTGAAGAATTTGTAGCTGATTTGTTGTTAAGAGGGAGCTGGTCAAAAGAAGTGGGCCAAAGGGGGTGTGGCCTGGAAGGCACATCTTTCCCCCTGCCCTTCCCTACTCTCTCTCTGCCTGCTACCCCCATGCCAGGAGCTGTTTCTCCTCCGTGATGCCTGGCTGCCACACTACAATGCCTTGCAGCCTGCTGACTACAGACTCAACAAACTGTACGCCAAATAAACCTTTCTTCTTTACAGATGTGGTGCTGGATATTGTGCATCAGAGATGAGAAAGTAACTGAAACAATTTAGCAACTTAGTGAGACACTGTTTCAAAAGTAAAAGGATAAAAGCAGGCTGAGGATGTAGCTCAGTGCAAAGGGCTTGGTTCAATTCCCAGAACCAAAAAATAAAAATCAAAAGCGGGGGCCACATGCACACTGGATCCTTGCCTGTTCAGTGTCCACACTGTATTGCGTGTTTTCTGCTTTCAAATAAAAATTTGGAAGGAACAGAACACGAAGGCCAAAAGCGGTTGTCTTTATCTGGTGCAAACACATTTTTCTTCTCTGTTTGCATGTGTTTTCCACAAATGCTCACACTGTGCGTGACCATTAATCCTGACATGACAACTCCATTAGATTGGGAAACACTGAGCAGATTAGCAGAGCACGCGCCTATGTGTGACTTTGTGGGTCATGGATGCAGGGACTTGGGGACTCCACATAGTCTCTCTGCCTCCTCTTCCTCTCTGGCACTGTTCCCAGGCTCTGCTTTTGCACCACCACGAACTAAGAAGCCTTCCTCTTCCCTACCCTTCTGCTCTAACAGTACTGCCTTGGTGGCACCTGACCATAGACTAAATCTCCTGAAACCCTGAGCCAAGTTCCCTTCCCTTCTTTCTATCACAGGTGGCAGGTGTCAGGTCTCAGTAAGGGAAAAGCTAACTAATGCACTGCATGAAAATTAAAGCTAGTGGTTTCCTCAGACGCATCTCTGCCCACAGCCACTCGGTGTGGGCAGCTCCCCAGACACACTGTGCCTTCGGGTGTGCCCTGGTACCCTGCGCACCCACCTATGGGGCAGCTCCTCCTGTTGCACATGTGGTACTCCTTCACATCCCCCACGCAGTCCTTTCCCCCATGCTGTGGCTCGGGATTGTTGCAGGCCCGCGTGCGCTCACGGATTCCTCCACCGCAGGTGACTGTGCAGGTCGACCATGGGGACCAGGGGCTCCAGCGGCCATCGACTGCAGGGAGAGTCAGGAAAGGGGCTCAGGGGGTGTGGGAGGGCACACAGCAAGGTCAGCCCCATGAGGCCAGAGGACAAGCTGAGCCATGTGGGCAGAAGGGATCGCTCTCCCTCTCCTCTCCTCTAGGTAGTGACAAGTAGGAGGGACAGACTGGAGTGGCAGTCCTTCCTTAGTCAAGGTGGTGAGTGACACACAGGACACAGTCATGGTGGTTTGTTTCTTTGTCCAGCTAAAAACTTTCATGACCTTTTGTAGCTAGAAGCCCAGGACTCTTTTCCAAGGTAAGGTCTGAGTTGCTACCCTGTGAAACCAAAGCTTACTGTCCATGGAAGCCACACACAAGCATACAAATGCATCAACCCACACAAAAGCCATCAAGCCATGTCAGTGCGTTCCAGGGGGACCAACTTCCTAGAGATGCCCTGTGTGTGTGTCCCCTAAGCCATGGCCCTGCCTCGTCACAGACTCAGGCAAAGTTCTTTCACAAGACAGTGTCTAGAATCTGTCGCTCCCCCAGTCCTAGTCCACAGCTGTGGCTTGTGGTTCTTCAGAAACAGGTGGCTGGGGATGTGACTGAAGTCTGCTGAACTCAGATAGACCGGGCCTCTAGGTGGGACCCCATGAAGCCTGGGGCCACAGACCCTTGCTGCCTGGAGCTGCCCTGGCCAGCCTGGGCTATGACTGGTGCTGGGGACCAGGAGCCCTGGCTTCTGCTCACCGGGGTCTGACTCTGCCCCCACCCTCCAAGGGCCCAGGGCGATGCTTACTTGGGCAGGGTGGACCCTCGCAGGTCTTGGTCTCCCGGCCACTGCCTTTGCAGTTCTTGCCCCCCATCTGGGGCACTGGGGAGTTGCAGAGGCGAATGCGTGTGATGTTGCCGATTCCACAGGTCACTGAGCACGAAGACCAGGGTGACCAATGGCTCCAGCCACCGTTCTGCCGTACTAACAGAAAGAGGTCGGGTCTCAGGCTGCCTCTGAGCTATGCAGGGTTAGCTGGCAGCAGGGGGGGGAGAGCACACCTTCACAGGCATGAGGGTCTCAGAGTTGAGGTTTCCAGAACCCAAAGGCAACTCTGTCTCTCCAACCTGAATGGCCAAGGATCAGTGTTATAGCCAGGGTCAGGCAGATGGGTGACACTCACTGCGTGGGTCGCATTTGCCTAGGCTACAAGTCCGAGTCTGGATGGAGGGCCCGAGGCAGGTGTTGCTGGTGACATCACATGACCGGCCTCTCTGCTGGGTTCCAGAGCCACATGTCACGGAGCACTCAGTCCACTCTGACCACGGAGACCAGCCTTCCTCGCTGTCCACCTCTAGAAAGGGAGGAAAGCATGTGGAGTCAAGGCCCCTCGAGACAAACTGGGTCAGAACCAGAACAACACCAAGACCTGGGTTCTCTCTCAGGGCTCAGGAGCCGGAGCAGGTGAATCCCCTGCAGAGGTCACAGAGGAGCTGGCAGTCTGGGAGTAGAAAATAGACCTAGCCATCAGAGGCCCACGACCTGGGCCAGGGCTCAGCTGGAAGTCGGAAGTCACCACAGAGCCACTGGGTGATGAGCTTGCTCCACGTGTCCACGGAAGATGCTCAAAAGACTTTTTTAAAACATTTGCAAAGATTGTACTGGATCGCATCTGCAGGAGGCCTTCACCCTCTGCTTGCTATTTTACATATGCTAATATTGCACTGCAACAATTGGTTGAAATTAGGCATCACATAATTTATTTCCAGATAACTCGAATCAAGACTAACAAGGCAACTTCTTACAGAAAAATTGCAGTCCCTGAATGAGGGCAGAGGCAGTCACTTAGGCCAGGAGAGCTTTCCGAGGAGCATAAGCGCCAAGCCTGGGTGTTTGCAGATCAAAGGTTCCAGGAAAGAGTACTTGGAACAGGCGGGTGTGCGAGGAGAGTGACAGAAGCCCCTCGGGAGGAGCCCTGAACTCCTGCGCCACTGTGGTCTCAACAGCCAGGCACCTCCTTACCTTTCTGGACCCCCAGATTATCATTGTTGAACAGTAGTACTAGGTTAATACTGACTCTAACCACTGAATTTGATTTGCTTCTCATCCAATTTGGTTTGCAACCAGAATGGAGAAGAGAATTAAGTTCATGTGTATCTAGGCTGCACATCCAGGAGTCTGACTCCAGATCAATCCCAGGCACCATGACGCACACTGTGTGGCTTATTTCGAGCCTGAGACTTATTGGGGCACTGAGAACAGTTTCTCTGTGGTTTGCAGATAAGGACTCTGAGCCTCAGAAAGGTCACATCTTGTTTGAGATCACAGTGGCAGAGCCTGGCTTCTCCCAAACCTGTTTTCTGCAAATCCTGAGGTCAGCCTGCTGAGGTCCACGCTCAGTCCTGAGATCACCAGGCAGGGATCCCCTAACCATAGTGTGCCCCTTCCAGGCCCCAAATTGAGTGGATCCCTTCACAGGCTCCTCTTCTGGGTCCCCCAGTCTGCATTCCTAAGCAGGAAGAACTGCACCCCATGAAAGGAGGCACGGGATGCAACTCCAAGATAAACAGGACAGCAAGTCCAAGCCTGGAGTCCTCGACCTCATGGTGTGCACCACCACGGGAGGACAGAGACAGCATAGGGGCAAGTCAGAGACACAGAGTGGGACCATGTATAGTTCCGCTGAGAGTCAAGGAACATGGAGGTGGAGGCTCTGGAGGAAGATGAACAGGCACATCCCGAAAGGAGGGAGCAGGGCTTTGGAGCCAGCTGGGTGTCTCTCCATCTGCCCAGACCCAGATTGCTCAAGGGCAATCTTTGAACCTCAGCCTCTGCCACTTGGAACAGAGTGCTATGACTGTATCACTTGGATGAAGGCCTCTGTTTCCATGTTTCTGTGTTCCAGGGAGGCTTTGTCCACAGTGCCCTGGAGTGATGACTCACTGTTCTCACACAGCCCACCTGGCTGAGGGTGACTCACAATTGGTTCCTACTTGGGCCACAGCTGGCTCAAAAGCTGCAGGGTGCTTTGATTCCTACAGGTCCCCTGAGATTTGCTTCCTCCTTCCTCATCTGAGCAGGGACAGGCAGAATTGGCCCTGGTCCCTGAACGCTGAGACTCAAGCTGCCTCAGACCCCTGGTCCTGAGACGTCCCTCTGCTCCCTCATCAGCTGTCTCCCATGGCAGGTGGACCCGGGACACAGGGTGGCAGGCTTACCGTGAGAGCAGGTAGGGCAGCACTGGCCTTCCGCAAAGGATGGGTGGGCACACGTTACTGGTGGGCAAGAGATTTGGTGGCAAATAGTTTTGAATTTCTGAAAGTAAAAAAGGTACTCATAGAAGACTCATCTGAAAGCAGCAGACATTGGCAACAGGAAAATGGCAGAAATGTACTGGATGATTCCAACCCACAGATCCACAGAAGCTGCGGCATAGATGATAAAATTCTAGATGAACACAATCCCCACCCCCACCCCACTAGGTAGTCCTGTTCTTCCACCATCCAGCAACAAGACTACAGTGCAACCTTCTCATGTTCTGGCAGGAGAGGAGAAAAGACACATGCAACCTAATATCTGAATCCTTAGGCCAAGGCTGAGGTAGCAAAAGAAACTATACCACCTCCAGCCTGTTCCACAATGACTCCCATCACCTCAGGAGTTTACGTCAAATATCGATGCCCTATGGAAAATGAACAGAAGCAAACAAACCCAAGACAAGTCTGCAAAGCCAATTCCAGCTGCTTCTAGCCACCTGGTGGAATTGGCCAAGTCATGCCACCATATGGGTTTTGGTTTCTTTGTGTGCAAAACAAAGATGTTGATTCAAATCATATTCACTGCTTTCCCTACTTCTTGTCCATTCTGTTCAGCCTGCCTTGTATATCTGACACATTCTACATGTATCCCCAAATAGCACCAGCCCCAGGCAGGTAAGACACACCATGTTTGGTGGTAGTGAGAGCGATTCTCTGAACCTGGGCTTCCTGTCTCCTCAAAGGTAGGGTTCTGGGGTCTCACCTTGCAGGTGCATGTGGTGCAACTGTCCACCACCCAGGTTTCATTTTCTGCAAAGAATCGACCATCCTGCCAGCAGGCTGACATGTTCTTTGTCTTGGGTGGGCCACCAATGAGCTCCCAGAGAAACTGGTTATCACTGGACTGGAAATAGAGGTAATGTTAGGTACAGGCAAGAACTGAGCATAGTTGGTAGCAATTCTTGTAGGTGAAGGAGGTGATTCCTTCTCAGCTGAGGAGCTCTGAGCTCAAGAAGCAGAACCAGCAGGTGACGGTGTGAAGGCCTGAGACCCTGCTGGAGAAAGATGGACACCCAGGCTCATGGGGCCTTCTGTCAGGCAGAGTCACACAGAACATAGAACCAAGCAGATGTTCCCACCCTCGGGGAGGTGTCCCACCTCTTATCCAATCTTAAGATCTGACATGGATTCTCACTGCCTTCTCTCACCCCTGCACGGCACACACTTTATGAACAAAGGCAAGGGCACTTTTCTGGACAGTGGGAAGATATTGGGAAGGGGAGGAGAACCCCCCTGTCCACTGCAGCCAGCACCCAACATGCTGTTTCTGACTTTACTCATTCTTTTTATTCACCCCATATGGTATGGAGGACCGTGACTCTTGCAGTCTCAGAGGTTGTAGACATGGAGAAAAACACTAAACGTGTGTTTTGCCCTGTGCTCTTTGTATCTAGCTCTTTCTCCAAATGGTCATTCATAATCTGGGGGTAACAGAATCTGCGATTGCTAAAGAATGATGTGAACCCTTCCTTCTACAGTACAGGTGCACAGGAACACACATGTCCTCATTGCTTTGTCTACCCACACCACTGGTCCTCAACTCCCAGTCTAGGACCTGTCCTAGAACTGGCTTCCCTAGAAAGGGAGAGGCTGAAGGCTCCTCAGATCCCACCTCCCAGGCCAGATCTGGACTAATTCGCATCACAGGGGTTCTACCCGGCTAGGTCACCCTCTCCCTGGACATGCTGAGGTTGAATGGGGATGCCCAAGGAGCCTGCAGTGACAACACAGGTAACCTCGCTGCAGGAAGGGACACAGTGCTGAAGACTGCCATAGGCCTCAGTGCTGGGAATTTCTCTGCCAGGAATCAAGTCTGAGAGTGGGTGGACATGTGGGATCCACCCCACATCTGCCTCCCATCATGCCTCATGTCACATTCCTGGAGGAAGTTTCCAGAACATTTATGCCAAACTTGAGGCGCCTCTGGCACCTTGGCCTTCACCATAAGTGGGCTTCTGGAGCCCACTGCATCTACTCTCACAGGAGTGGGAGTTGCACTGGCCCCCTTGCATCTGGACTGTATCAGGACAGACATTAGGATGTCCTCCATGTAGGGACAGAGTAGGGTGGGCACAATTTCTGGCAACCCACATACTGACATCTGCTGACCCTGCAGCAGCCTCCAGGACAGGGAGCATGGTCCCTCACACTCTTGCCTGCTCCCTCCCTGCCTCTTCAGCAGCTCCACTCCTGGTTCTCAGTGCCAGATGTGATCTTCCCTACAAGACATGGCATCCAAGGGAACCCCATTACTCCACAGCGTAAGACCCCATCCACAGCCTGTGGTCCTCCCTTTGCTCTGGAGAGGCATATAGCTGGCTCCTGTACACTGCACAGAGACCTTCTATCCATAGGGATAATAATTCCCCCTTATCTGTCCCAGGCAACCCTTAGAAGACATTTCCCTCTCATAGGCACCCTTCGACTTGCAGGAGAGATGAATTTCTCTCCAAATCAGGAATTTATTTTGCAGAAAGTACATCCCAGGCTTCACACTGAGGTACATCCCCCAACATTTTGTTGTTGTTGTTAATTTTTAGACAGGGTCTCATTAGCTCACTAAGTCACCCAGGTTGGGCTTGAAAGTTGAAATCCTCTTCCCTCAGCCTCCCTAGCAGGATTACAGGTGCACACCACCATGCATGGCTAACAGAAGATATTTAAATGATGTCAACATCTTTCAGGACTAGTGAGTAAGGAGCTGCCCTGAGGACCAGCCAGCAGAAGAGGAGCCACCCCCAAGGGTCCCTTTCACACATACCACTTTCCTCAGGTTGTCATCAAGTTGGCGCACCAAGACGTGCAACCCAGACAGCTCGCGCATCATGTTGGCCAGCTCCTCGCAGGAGTGCTCACACACCTCCGGCCTCTGATCCACTCCGTGACCCACCAGCTCCGTGGTGATGTGAGGACTCAGATGCAAGGTCTCCGTGTGCTCGCTGATGGCATTGACTTCGGCTAAGGGAAAACACAGCAAGGTCAGGGCACTGTCCTGGGGCCTGTCCCCCAGCCGAAAGTGATACCCAGTGTGAGCCACTGTGTGTGGTCCTGAGTGGCTACTGCTGTACTGTACCGAGGGCACAAGGGGACCTGGCAGCTGCTAGGACCTGGCAGTTAGGACCTGTGCGTTACAGAAAGGATTCTGGCCCACACGGTAACACTGAACATGGCATAGAAAGAGTTCACAGATGAGCAGAGTGTGGCTTATCAATCGAAAACGCAGAGCAGATCTGACACACACAGATCTGTAAGTGTGTGTCCTGGCTCACTCCTGTAGCTCAAACGAGCTCAGGGCTCATCCTAGCTTTTAATCTCCCCAATACTTACTTTCACCCCCAAACACATCTGTTCTTCAAACACATGCCTCATGCACCCCAGAAGCTCCCCCCTGCACCCTGAAGGCTCCCCACATAATCTAAAGGCTCACACTATACCCTCAAGCTCCTCCACATATCCTGGAGGCTCCTCCTACATTCTGGAGGTATCCCCTCTACCCTGGAGGTACCCCTGCATCCAGGCAGCCCCTCTCCACACTCCCTGCATTCTCTTTTCCTCCTAAACAAACTTGCTTTACCCAAGGCCACACACCTATCCTCTCAGGCTCCAACTCCTGTCCAACCTTCACTCCCCCAGCTGTTTTTCCAGAAAGAGACAGAGGGGGGTGGGCCCGACTGTGGGCATCTACCTCCACTGCTTCAGAAACTGTACAAACTGCGTGGAGCCATGGCCCATGAGGATACTAGGGTAAATACATAATTTACAAATTCACACAGGGCAAGTTAGACTCTCATCTCGCTCAAGCCTAAGCCAAAGGGTTCAGACATGGAGGCCTCAGCTCTCTTTCTGGGATGATGGTCACCAATGCACCACCCTCAGGCTTTCTGTTGTTGAATTATTGCAGGTATATATTATAATTCTGCCACTCAACCCATTGTTGGGCTTTTAGGATTTGCTATAGACACTCATCCCAATTCTCAAACTAAGATTGGAAGCTACTCTGAAATCCTTATGCTAAGCACAACTATAGTCTAACTATGTACATAGGTGATACATAAACATACAGGTGCATAATAGAGACACCACACTAATTCTAGGTGAGTTTTACCCAGCAAATTGACTTTCGTGTTCAATATATTTAACTTACTCGGCATATCTTCTTTTCATTCTTTTAATATTTGAGCCAAAACAGCATTATCATATTTACCACTGTCTCTGACAGGAATTGGTTTACTTAGTAATAAAATTTTCCCTCCATTCTGCATTCCTCTTGTCTATAGCAAGATTTTCCATTGTGAAATATGAATGACTTGGCCCTGGGTGGAGTGGAGGTATTCTCACTTTTTAACAGACAGCCAATGGAGTCATAGTATTGCCCATCACCAACCCTAGCACTAGTGTTTTAGTTAGAACAGGGTTTTTCTAGTCTGACAAAGCAGTGCAGGAGTGGGAAACCTTTTTGTGAAGATTTGCCAGCTCTGAATGATCTAACAGTCTGCTCTTATATATACATCAGTATTATAAATCCTCAGGTCCTTACCTACTCTTTATTTTAAAGAATAGATTTAGATTTCTGTGCAAGTCCAATTTCTAATGAAGAGCTCAACTGGTAAACGTTTGATCTATAAATGTCAGGGATTATAGGAATCTACCCTTGCTAAAAACAAATGAAATGGCATTTATTGACACAAAGCTGTGGTAGTGGTTGGCCGAGGAGGTTAATTCCACCCCACTAATGGCCACTGCAGCTGGCTCAGCAGTCTCATCCTGACTAATTCATGCTGAGGTCCAGTGCAGAAGTTTCCATAATTCATAGCACTTCTAAGGATACACTCTCTTCACAAAAGCATCCCAGGAATATTTTGGCATATGTGCACTCTGCCTGGAGCCCCACTTGGCTGGAGGGTGACAGTGTGTCGCCTTGGGCTGAGCTGTGCAGTTGCCCAGCACCCCCTGATCCCCTAAGGATCAGGTCACATGAGCCCCATTCCAAGGAGACCACAAGGAGATCACTGGATCATAGACACAGAGTCCTACACATTCATCCTTGGTGTGTGACCAATTAAAGAGCAATTTATAGTTTTCCTACCTTAGAACTGAAGGGAAGAAGTGGTCTATTCGAAAGCATCACTGAATCACATGGATTCTCAGGAGACCATCAGCTCTGGGTGAGCACCCCAAGTGAACTGGGAAACCGACGTGACCCACTTGGGGTTCCACTTTCTTGTTTGTAAAACAAGAGCAATGAAAGTGCTTATTTCCTAACGTCACTTGGAAGGCCATTCATAGACTGTGCATTAGAGAACCGGGGCACCAACCTCACCAGTTAAATGCTCAAGGAGACAGGAAATGCAACACAAAAGGCAGTGAGGATTAGGTGTCATGTGGATCCACTCAGCGCTGACTTTCACCATGGCTGAGTCGCACACTGTGGCTGGATGGTGACAGAAAGTCGACAAATACCTACGATGTCACAGTATGTGAGTGACCTTCGCACTTCAACCCTGGAGAGATCACCTGTGCTTGTCATGATACTGCAATGCCAGTGATTTACATTTCAGATTGAAAAATTTCTTTTCCAGTTATTGAAATCTCTTCAAACCCTATCTGTTGATAACTGGTCATTTTCAGATGTCACCCATTTACCACACTGACTGTACAGAATGCAAATGTCACTACTGGAGAGTCCACACACACAGAGCAGGCCCCCGCTGAGCTGGGAGACAGACACACTGCACCAGTGCACATACCTCCCTGGCCTTGCTGACAGCCTTTCCTCCTGAGAACATCTTCTACAGAATTCTCAAACACCAAGTGCACGTTCTGCAGCAAACCCTGGGAAAACACACAAATGGAAGCTTCTGATGTAAAGCTAAGTGACATTTGCGAACGTATGAGAAAGGGTTTCCGACACTATATTGTCTCCTGTAATTTAAAACTGGCAGTTTTGAAATCTTGCAATCAATTTTTCTATATCTGTTACTCTGGAAACTTGGCTTTTAGACATGTCACAAAAAATATAAGTTTAACCTGAAAAGTCTGCTAACCATAAGAAAACACTCCACAGAGTAGAACAGAAGAGGCCCAGGGGACACCATGAATTAGATCATCTGACCATGCACAGACAGACTTTCCAGGCCATTGACTGCAGGGGACTCAGGACTGTGGCTGAGACCTCAGAAATGGGGGTGGGGTGCGCACTGGAGATGGGACTCTGGGTCTGAAGCAGCATCACACAGCTGCGGGGGCACACCAGCACCACCAGAGAGGTGTCCACTGCCAAGCCACGAGGCTGAAGGCCTTCCCTTCATATCCTCTCTGTCTGGAGGAAACCTCTGTACAGATGCCCCTGGATTTACAATAGAGTTTCATCGGAATACCCCCACTGTGACTAAAAACATCACAAGCTGGATTTCGCACTCCTAACCTACTGAGTGCATGCTGAGGACTAGGACCCCTGGAACTTGTCCTGGTCCCCTGTGGCCACTGCCTGCCAGCTTTCTGAGATGCTCAGACCACACAGCATTAGACCTGGAGAGATCAAAATTCAAATTCTGAAGCATGGTGTCTCCTGGAGGTGTGTCACTTCCACAGCATCACAAAGAGGGAGGCCATAAGTTGAAGGGACCAGCTGCAGGTCCTAAATGCTCACTGGTATGGGAAGACCCTGTTCCAATCTTGCAGACTTCACTGCAATGAACACACAACTGCTCTCTCCTCAATCAGCGGCTCCTAGTTTAGGAGTCTTTAATTCTCTTTTCTCTCACTTTATTTCCAAAGCAAGAACCTAGAACTGCGCTCAGTTCCAGTAAAACAATTGGTCTGCCAGAAGTCCATAAACAGACTGGCCAGCCCTTGCCACTGATCCTCAGTGCAGGGAGATGCAACCCACGTACCCTATAGTGTGGGAGGTACGGGTGTGCAAGTGTGGCCACATGTATACATCTGTGCCTCTGGATGCCTGATGGACAGTACTGTGTGTGCATATGTATGATGGCAAATGGATACGTGGTACCACGTGGCTTTTGTGCACACAAATGTGTGATGTGTGGTGTGCACTAACACTTGTGCAAACACATGCAAGTACATGACTTTTGTTATCTGTGAGTGGTGCGTGAGTGCTTGTAAGTGTGCAATTAGGTGGCTGGTACAAATGTGTGTCCATGTGTGATGAAAAAGGTGCTCGTGCAGCTTGTGTAAGTGTGTGTGCCCACAGGTGCTATGTGTGTGCACACAGGTGTATATGTGCTATGCGTGTGCTGGGTACTTTTTCAAGGTGGGACTCTACCTGGTGTAACTCAGAACTGCAGTATGGTTGCATGGTCCTGCTGGCTCCCTCATGGCCCAACCACCGCTCCACTGCCACCACCCAGACTACGCACCCTGAAGTGACTCTCCCGGGAAGCGCCTTTGGCCACATACATCCTGCTCCGCTCTGCCTCCAGCTGTTCATAGAAGGGCTCGTCCAGGGAGAAGCTGTCCATGAGGTCACAGCCTACATACAGACTGTAGGTCTCACTGGCCACCTGCACAGTGATATTCTTCCATTGGGAGTCAGCCAGGCCCACATCCTCCAGGGAAACCACGTGCTCGGTGTCCTCCACCCAGTAGGTGAGGTCCAGGGTGTCAGCTGGGCCATTGGAGACAATCTCAAACTGCCTCTGGGAAGCACCCGGACCCTCCAGGGCCAGCAGTGTGCCCCGGGACCTTCGGTCCTGCTTCAGCTGGGCAGTAAGGAAGAAGCCGTCCTTCCGCCGCATGGCCCCGATGATCCTGTCCAGCTCGGCTGCGTTCACTGGGGGGATATAGTCGAACCGCACGAAGCGGTAGGCAGGCCCCCCGGGGTCGGGCCCTCGGAACTGCTTGGCACCGATGGTCTTCCGGTTTATGTTGCTGATGCTGAAAAGGTCAAAGACAGTGTCCTCGTCCTGCTCACCAGCTGCCAAAGGAACCACAGCGGGAGGGTCACCAGCTGCCAGGACTCAAGTGACCAACCACAGCTTTCCTGGCATGGAAACTCTCTGGGTCTCCCAGGATTCTCTCTCTTTCCCCAGTGGCACTGAGGCCACACCTGGGCGAGTCTCTGTTCCCTTGGTGGGGGAGCGTCTGAGGGTCCTAGGAAAAGGGCTGGCCTTCTCCTCAGGTAAGCCGCAGGTACCGGAGTGCAGAAAGCCAGCACCCCCAGGTCGGCAGCCCACCCACCCAGCAGCCCACCCTCCGGAAGCAGAGCTGAATTTCACCCCTTGTCCTGCCGGCCAGAGGCTGGAAGGCAGGACTTCCCCGCCACACAGCCTGGGATCTGGGTACTAAGAGCCCAGACTGCACTCTTGCTGGAGCCTTCCAGGGCAGAACTTTAGAAGCTGTGCCTTTTTGGCGTCTTCCACCCTTGACTAACAGCGAGCATCAGTTTGCTTTTGTAAAATGGTGGATCTCACATTTATAAGCGAATGGTTTTAAGCCACCATCCAGCCACTAGTGAGAAAAGTGATCAGATCTTGCCAAAGTCATAACAGTTTGAAGAAGTCAAAATAATACACTGAGCGCAAATTTTACAAAGGAGTAACTGTTTTTCAACTAATACTTGGCACATTAAAACATATTACGCACTATTTCTGGTAGAAGTGTGACTTTTACCACTTTTGGTAGTTACTGGAAATAATTAAAACTTTGGACTACTGCTATTAAAATGGCAATTCTATTTTTACAATGTATCCAAAGGCTATAGTGGCAAGTGCTAATGATAACTGATTCACAACAACATTCCTCATCTCTTAATTTATACTAACAAAAATAAAATAACAGTCCTCAGAATACTAACCTGAAAACACGGGTTTATCGTCAATGGAGTACTACACAGTCAGTAAAACTCACACCGAAAGAAAATAAATATATGGGAAATATTCAAGATGAATAATTTAAGCAGAAAACAGAATAAAAAACAATATGTGTGATGCTATAAACAGAGGGTGCAGGGAATGCTGAGTTTCACAGGTCAAGAATCCCATCTTGCTGAGAGGGTATTATTCATTAATACCAAAACTTTCCAAAAATATTTCATTCCACGCTGTGTGACTCAAAAGTAAATAAATGCCCTGCTATGGCGGGGAGTCAAAAGGCTCCACCCATTAATACCTCACTCATGCGGCTGCTTCCTGATCTCCCACTGCGGCTCAGCACACTCACCGAAAGCCCCGGCCCATGCACAGAGAGCCCACAGAGACAGCCCCCAGAGCATCCTGCCTCCCGCTGCGCCACCTAGGAAGAAAGCAGCCATGTTAGTGGGGAGCACACCCCATACCCCAGTGCGGACTGGGTGTCACTGTGGTCACTCACAGTCTGCCTACACAAATCACACACAAAACGACACCTGGGAACTAGAGAGACTGGAGAAGAGTTCTTTCCAAAGGAGAATGTTTCCTAACACAGCTAATATTCATGGATTAGTGTGCCTGGACACCTAGGTATTCCTGGTATTTAGTCCTCCTGGTGACCTGTGGGTAACTGACACCATTGCTGTACCCATTCTGCTGGTGAGCAAGTGGAGGGCAGGAAGGGTGTTGCTTGCCTGAGTAACTGCTAATAAGATATGTAGCCAGGGCTTGGATCCAAGAAGCTGGAATTCAGGAAAACATCCAGGCCGGTGCAGTAATCTGTGAAGGCACTTTGTGTAAATATCCAAGGGGGGAAAACAGTGATGCATAACTTAATTAAGCAGAATCAATAATAACTAGATATAAAAGTTAGAAATAAACAGCTTGGTACATCATTTTTATGAGAAACAGAAGATTTTACTTAGCAACAATTCTTACCCTACTTTCCTACTTTCCCGCAGGCCTGTTTTTCCGTTCTTGGGGATTCTAAATTGGCATGGTTCAGCAGACACTAGACCAGAAGTCAGGAGGCCTGGACCCAAGCCCGGCTCGCTGTTAACCCCTTGTGGGTCTAGGGAGCCCTGGGGCCAGCGCATGGCCACGCCGCACAGGAGGCTTTCTGCAAGGCGCTTGTGGGAATTCCTCCCCCTCCGGAATATCAGCGCGCCTTCAATTCTCACCGTGCAAAAAAATCCCAGGGGTCTCCCTCCCCAGAAACACCCAGCAGAAATGGAGACCCAGACCTGGACCCCACTCCTTGAGCAAGGAGATTGATGCCTGGCAGAGGCCCTGGGTCCTGGAATCTGGGGTCCGGCCCTCACAGCGCCACCCACAGGCCACCGCTGGCAGTGTCGCCAGTCATCACCGTGCAGGAGGCGGCCAGGTTTAACCCACGCTGCCTAGGTTGGCAGCCTCAGGCAGAGCTGTGCTCCCCGGGCAGCCTACTGAACCTCTCCGTCTCAGTTTCCTCCTCTGCGGATCAGAAAAAAGACCTGGAGTTGTTTAAAATATCTGCCCAGCTGGGTCGCTTTGAGGAACGCGCAGGGGAGTGCGCGTTCACCACGTGCTGCTCAGCACAGGGTGCTGGGCACTGGCACGCGGGCTTCCCGCCCTCACCTCCCAAGGGAGCCGGGGAACCACAGAGGTCACGGATGGCCTCTCCATAAAGGGCTCTTGAGGGATTAAACAACGGAACGGCGCCGGCACGCGCTCAGCCCAGGGCACATGGGCCACCTTCCGGGCCCCTGACCTCGCACAGGGTGCATCGCCCACCGTCCTGGGAGCCACATGCCCCACCCCACAGCACGGGGCTCCTCAGCCCGCTCTGCACAGAGGGCTCCTCTGGAGACCCCCACGGCGCGGCAAGGACGCCCTGGCTGCAGAAGTCCAGGCAGAGGCGCTGACTGAGCTCTGTTTTGACCAGCGCAGACTCTGCCTGTCTCTGAGTGCGGCTGCCTCATCGCAAAGACTCAGAGGTCTGCGGTCTGTCACAGGACAATCCTACATCATCTTGGGGACAGGGACAGGAAGGCTGGATCCAGCAGGTGAGGCAGAGACCTGATGACCCCCAGGGTGCAGGACAGGCAGGGGCGCCCCGCGGAGTGGGCGCCCTGGTCCTCACTGTTCCAAACCCTTCTCCCTCCCACATTCCTTCCGGGTGTCTGTGGTTCTATTTTTCTGGGGATTTCTGAAGCCTTTCTGCAACAGAATATAGCTGATGTTTATGAAGAATTTTATACTTCTGTTTATGTGAGCAAAAGGGAAAACAACTTCGCTGAGAAGTATTTGTGTAGCCCCGTGAAGAGCAGCGTGATTAATCATGAGGTTCCAGGATTGAGCTCAGCCTTCTGGACTGGGGACCAGACTTCTGTTCCCAGCCCAGATGCTGCCAGCTCCCTTTTCATATGCAAATGACGCCCCGAACTTAAAAGCAAGCCTGTTCCCCCAAGCATAGCACTTCCCACAGGCTGACTGTAAATTACTGCACTTTTCCAGCTGTTTATAATGTTTACAGTCGGAATCTCTGCAATTTCTAAGGGTTCTCACACGTTCAGGGAACTGTTTCCAATTCCTTTCTCATAGTCCCCCCTCAGTAACAAACTTCAGTATGGAAACTTTTTATTGTAAAGCCAAAAATGTCAGTGTTACCCAGGCTCCCTGCAGCAGGTACCTACAGCAGCACGGTCCAGGGACAGAGTTGGCACAGGAGGCACAGTTGGGCTACTGCAAGTTGAGTACCTGGGAGTTTAGCTCAGTAGTGAAAACTCAGGATGAAGAAGCCTCTGCTGTCTAGGTGTGCAAAGATGCACCTCCTTTTTAAAGTAGGAATCTACATTGCACTTTTTTTCATGTCCATTTTTAAATCAAGAGCCTTTCCTGAAAATTACAACCCAAAGAAATGGCTTAGTAAATTGAAAAAGATGTGTTACCTGTATATAAAAAGCTGGAGTGAGGTCTGAATTCAGTGTTCCAAGTCAGGTCCAGAGGATACAGACAGCCCGAGGTCCCAGCACAGTGTCCAGTAGACACAGCTCCCTGCTGCAGGCAGCTGCCCACGCCTTTATACGCTCTTTCCCTGGAGTAGCCCTGTCAATCAGAAACTTGAGGACGCACGTTTAATTCATTCCTTTGAAGGAATGACATAACTCCTCCTTCTGATCGAACCATTTGCTCTGAGTACCTGTGGTCAGAGTCCAAGTCCAGCCCCTCTGTGCTGAACTCCGCCCTCCCCTCGTCCACCCAAGGCCTCCAGACCCGGGCCTGGGAGGAACCAGATGCAGGGAAACACAGGGACTCACTTTTCCTGTCTTTTCTCAGGAAATAAAATGCTATAAATAAAACGAGTGTGTTTGGCTCAGCTGAAACTTCCACTTTGCTTAAGAGAAAAATAAATGAAAGTTCTACAGTTTAAATGTGTTTCAAATTACCCAACGTGAAACTAGTTTTTCTAAAATAAGCAAGCGACAATGGGCAGGGCACAAAAGACCAGTAGGGATGCATTGGTGAAGTTGCTGTAAGGAAAGATAAATTTTATCATGTGCAAAAAATCTGAAAAGGTCAACAAGCTTTTATTCCAGGCAGTTGGAAGCTGACAGATAGTATTGCCTATAAAAGAACTGTTTTTAATCTACAGCTGCCCCATCTGCCCAGCCAAGACCTTATACAAATCACCCCACAGATGTCCGCCTGCAAGTCCAGCCCACGTGGACTTACTTTCCGGTGGCTGGAAGGGCCCACGATTAGAGGAAGGGGCTCAGGAAGAGGAGGCTCCTGTGTGGGAGGACAGGAGCTGGAGAGACCTGAGCATAAGGAGACCAGCCAGCTTCCCGCCGTGGTCCAACTCCTATCACCCAGGTCAGCATGGGCACAGGAGAAAGAAGGCCACTGAGTAGGTAGATGGTGGACAGAGGAAGAGCAGGACCATCACCCAGGTCAGTGTGGGCAGAGGGGGGAAAATGGACAGCACCCTGAGTGAACTGCATGTGGAGGGGGAAGGACATTTCCCAGGGTAAATGGTGGACAAGGAGGCGCAGCACCTCCCCGGTCGCTTCACTGGCTTCACGGGCATGGAGCGCCATGGAACTTGTCCCTGGAGAATGTGTGATGGTGGGTGAATGAGAAGTTTTGTGGAGGAAGCTCTCTGCTCCTCCTGCCGTCACCCAGGCCGGGGGCCCCATGCAGGGTCCTGTGTGACTTCTCCAGGGATCCACTCATGCTAACTATCCTCTGTGCCCCCAAGCACACCTGGATGGACTCCTGTAGCTCTGCAGAGTCCATAGGGAGAGTCAAGGACAGTTCCTGGAGGTCACCTGCACTGATGCCACATGGTGTATGCAGGGAGCACCCTTGGTGGCAGAGATGCGGGTGCAGATGTGTGGTGTGCAGAGGAGCAGAAGCTCCTAGGGCGGAAGGCACTGGGGGAGCCAGCACAGAGGCCCTGGTCTCTGTGCACTTCCCAAGCTAGAGGTCACTCCATGTCGCCACTGTAGACACTCCTTCAGTGTCATCAAAGGAAGGACAGGGTCTATGACAGCAAAACCACAAAGCCAGCAGAGTGGGGGCTTCCAGGTTTGGAGGCCTGTGCAGAAGTGAGTAGAATCACCAGGAAGGCCAGGGAAGTGGATGCTTCTGCAGGAAGAGAGGAAAAGGGGAAGCCATAGGATCTCTGACCAGGTTTCAACCCCTTGGAATTCACATCCAGCAGGGCCAGTGAATGTGAGCCTGCTGGACAGGGCCTCTGCTGATGCATTGGCCAGACAGGGCCTTCCTGGAAGAGGCAGCCCTTCTCCTGCCATGTCCTAATCCAAAGAGGGAATTGGGAGCATACCAGGGAGAGCCCCTGTGATGCAGTAGATGGATGGGGCTGTGTGTACCAGGACACCAAGTATCGACAGCAGTGCTGGGTTATTCAGGATGCAAGAAGATCTCTTCCCAGGACAGCCAGACAGCACAGCCTCGACTTCAGGCTCCAGAACTCTGGGACAATATGTGTTTGCTGTTTTATGCCTGCTGCTTTGTGGTACTCACTGTGCTAGTGCCAAGAAACAGACACCTTGCTGGACACGACATTCCAGGTGTTGCTTAAAACTGGCCAGGTGCCCCTGTGCACCCCAACATAAGGATCCTGCAGCAGAGGTCCCATCCCTGACTGGTGTTGCTTAAGCACAGGCCTGGGGGAAGGAGCAGGGTGGCAGATGAGTGGTGAGCAGCCTGTGAGAGGCTGGGCCCCTGGTTCAAGGGTGTCTGCCTTTTGCAGGGAGGGAACGGCTCTGCCTCCACTCAATGTTGTGGCTTGCGGGGGCTTCTGCACTGCTACATGGCACCATCTCTGGTTGACTGAGCTCGGGGAGGCGGGGAGGGGTATGGGAACCACAAGAGGAGGGGAGGAAGCGGAGAGCAGTCCTGTACATCGTGCCATCCTCCGCATCAGGACCCAGGCTCAGCATCCATCAGCACAAGCAGCAACCAGCAGGCTTCCCCAGTGCTAGGCCAGCATCAGTGAACTGCAGACTTCTGAATTCAAAGAGTGAAAATGAGGGCTCCTGCTGTGGGGAAGGAGGACAAGCAGAGCCACCAGGAGACTGTCACACAGAGTGAGGAGCGATCTTCATGTGGGTTCAGACACTAAGTCCGGGAGATGGCACCCACAGCCTCACTCAGAGCCAGGCCAGCAAAGGCTTCATCAACAGCACCCCCATAGCAGGGAGATGCTCAGTTCTAGATGCAGGATTAAGAAAGACTTGGCCATTGGTGCACCAGGGGGAAGGCCAGGGCCAGGGAGAGACAGGCACAGATGTACACTCTGTGGGCCTAAAGATGCCTTGGAAAATCCAACCACTGCCGTCTAAATGATGCAGGCCAGCTGGGAACAGGAGTCTGGGGCTTGGAGGAAGCAGTGCCTTCAAGGTGACCTGCGACACACCTGCCACCCACCACTGACTATGTCAGAAGCCACTGGGGTTTGGGATGTGAAGCAGATGTGAGTGCCAAGGTGGCAAGGATGCACTCAGATTGCACATGTCACTGTGGTCAACAGTGTGGTGTCTGGTCTGAATTATATGCATATCCTAATAAATAGTCACCTGGCCAGAAGGTCACAGCATCCTTATTTTAATAAAAGAACGAACAAGCAGATTCATAGAGGAATAATCCGAATGACCGCCTACATTTCTGCATGACCCACGCAAGGCGAGTTTTTTTAAAACAAACAAAAAAAGGATAAAAAAAGATACAGAACTTCATGGTGATTCTGGGGAAGCACAGGAAGGTGTGCAGCTCTAGCAATGCTCCAAGAGATGGGATGATCTTGCCCTCTCTCGCTTGCCACGAGAGAGAGGCAAGTGACAAGGAACCTTCCTGTGCCCATAGCCAACTTGGGGACAGTCTGAGGGTCCTGGCAGTCAGAGAACAGGCACGGTGCACCCAGAAGCTGCCGAGAGGTGAGTCACACTTGCAGACATCTGATTCCTCTTAGTCTGTGCTGGGCAAGTGAGTAAGCCTTGAGCCTCTGTGCCTCTGGGTGAGAGTTACAGGAACTGGCTTTGTCCTGACCAGGGGCAGAGGAGAGCAGGCCCAGACATCTGGCAGTTCTGGTGGGTATCGGGGGCTGGTAACATGAAAAAGGCCCCTGAGGAAGCAGGTGAGGATGAAGACCAGGAACAGTGAGGTCAGGGCTTGCTGCTCTCCGGGACTGCAGGAACCACCAGTGTGACCACACTCCTGCTGGGCTGAGAGAAATGGTGCTGCACTATGGAGGGTGAGCCAGGAGCCCTGGACAGACCAAGCCAGAGTGTGAGGCCTTCATTTTCCCCAGGCAGTAGACCTGACAGAACCTCTCGCGAGAGGACTGGCGCAGAACTTGCTCTGGATGCACTGTCCCCAGCCTTCTGCATCCTGCCTTGGATAGGCCACCTCAGAGTACAGAACCCCATTGGGTTTCCTCACAGTGTTGGTCTTCTGCGTTTCTGATCCCTCCAGCAGCTCAGCATAGTGTCCCCCCTCACCCCCACGATGTGGCCAGACTATCAAGGAGCTCAGGATGCAGACACAGGCTGGGCAGCACACCAGGCACAGCTGGCTGTGCATCGAGCCAGGACACATGACAGCAGCAAGTTGCTGGTCTCCAGTGCAGTGTCGAGATCAGGGCATGCAAAAGCATGCTATGGCTGTAGGCTTGCGTCCTTCCCAAGTCTACAATGTCACGGATGCACAGAGGAGTGACTCCACAGCTGCATCTGATGGGTGCACCTTCCCTGATGCTCCAAGCAGAGTGGTGACAGTGCCAGGTCAGCTGGAGGAAGCACAGGGCTTCTTTCCCTCCTGCTCTACATTACTGCAAACTTCACAGTAAGGGCCCATCTTGGTGAAAAGCTCTGTGTGTCTCTGGATGTCTCAGACACCCAGCACTAGACCAGGGAGGGGGGCAGTGGGGCGATCTCTGCTGCTTCTTGTATTCCAGTAAGAAAACTGAGCACCTAGGTCCCATAGGGTGCAACCTTATGCCTGGTCTGTGTGTTTAGCCTAGATCAGAGGAAAGACAGGGCACCTTTGACTACAAGAGTGGATGGTGAGGGCTTTGCTCAGCTCACAGGAAAAGACTGAACAGTATGCTGATGGAAAGCTTCACCTGGCTGGTGAATGAGATTCACGCCTCCAGGTACAAACCCTTGTTTCTTTAGGAGACTTGATTAGGCGCGAGGAGCTGGACTACGCATCAAGTGGCAAATGGTGTGTGAGAACTCGGCTTTAGAAACCCAGGCCCGCTGCTCACTGTATTGCCACTCCAGCAATGGCATTTTATTTCCTTGACAGATTCCAAGAACTGGTGAACAAGGCCTTCAAGAAACAAAGTAGACTGTAGCTGTAGCACCTGATCAGAAAACACTACGGGAGTAGCTGTGACATACATCTTGGCTTCCTGGTCCAGCGTCAAGAGATTGGAATTCTACCCAGAATCCACGTGAGTGCGAATCTGGGCTCCCACCTTCATGATTCTAAGATTCAGGAGTTGGGCTGAGAACAGAATCTAGTTTAGGGCTGATATCCCCCATGACTACACTCCACATCTGGTCAGCAGTCTGAAGCCCACATTGAGGGCAGTGTGTGTTGTGCACACAGCTCCAGCTTCTGCATGTGGACTTCCTGAGGAAGATGGGCTGAGCACTTGAGGGGACTGTCCAAGGTCCCTGTGGTTCCCCTATTTGGCTCCTGGAGCTCAGTCCTATGAATGCTTCCTGCCTCATCCCTAGGACCTGGCCTGCACCACTGCACCAGGTGTCCTATCCCCTCTGGAGGCTGGGTCCTGGCTCCAGGCTGACGGCTGTGGAGATCAACTCACCCTTTCTCTTCTGTGGGCCTCTGCACCCTTTGTTGCTGATATCCAGGGTCCAAACACTTGTGTCACATACAAGGGCGACCAAAATGGAAAGGCGCACTTCTAAGACCACCGTGGTGTTCCTCATCTACCTTATTCACTAGATCTGGCAACCTGTCACTTCTGCCCCTCCCCGAAGGTAAAATGACCATGATAAAGAAATGGTTTGAATCTATTTTGGTCACTGAGGCTGGTAATGAAAGAAGATTTCCAGAACTGCTTCAGAAATTGACAAGAACATTGGAATAATGTTTTTGAAGCAAGCAGTAAATATTGAGGGGGATTCATGTTAATGTGTTTTGCACTGAATAAACTTTTAAAAAATTAAACATTCAATATGCCTTTCAGAACACCTGAGTTTTTCTGTGTGTTTCCTATGGTCTATTTTCTTGGTTGCTTCAGGAAAGAAAAGTGGTTGCTGCCATTTAATGCCCTTGGTGTGAAAGAGACTCTTCTGGCTTTTTGCATTTGTGATTGGCCATGATGGAAGATTGATGCTTCTCTTTTTCTTTCTTTCTTTCTTTCTTTCTTTCTTTCTTTCTTTCTTTCTTTCTTTCTTTTTTGTTTCTTCCTCCAAGTAGGAAAATAAGAAATAACCTCATCCAATAAAAGCAAAGCATGAACTCTTTTCTGCTCATCTCTCTAGTCCATTGTACACTGAGGATTTGGGTGCAGAACCTGGGGTTTCACTGCACATTCTGCCTTTGGGAAGTGTCCAGTGCTGCCTGGCTTAGCCCAGCTGCAACATGCATGGGCAGGGGACCTACTAAGGAAAGAATAATCCCTCACCCATGTGCAGTGTTGTGAGGTTGAGGATGTCAAAGCATGCAGAAAGACACTGCAAGCCCAGTGAAGATGGTGTAGACAGACACTTTATTGTTTACTCTTCAAATTAACCTGCACTGTTGTATGCGTTCAGGGATTTTTGACGCACAGTGGTGAGGAAGCTTCTGGGACGGCCAGCAGCAGATCAGGGCTGGAGATGCGAAACCGCCCACTGGCGGGTGCAGATCCCTCTTCCCTGAACAAGGATCTGACTCATAGCTCTTGCTTCCAACTTCATTGCTCTCACATCTACAGTGGTCTCCAAATTTTAAGTTCTTCTCTAACTTCAGCTACTTATTCCGGGATTCCTCCGCGGCTGTGAACTCCCAAGTCAGGAGCTGAGTGCTTCTTTCCAGTTTCCGATCCGGCTGAAATCCTCCTGTTTCCCACTGGCCGCGTGGATGGGGGCCAGGGCCCCACTGCCTTTGCTCATCATCCGGTTGAAAACACAGCTGAACCGTGTCCACAAGTGACTGAATCACGAGTGTATCACTTTGCTAAATGCCATCTTGCTGTCACGGCAATGCTGAGAGGAGCAGCTCAGCTGTCAACAGTGCTGAGGGGCTGGCTCAACATTCACCCAGCCCAGGTCACCATCCCCATGGCTCTTTTCCTCACCACTTCAGCCCACAGTCACAGGGGACTGACTGGACATGGAGGAGCGGCAGCAGGCCCCTGGCCTTGCAGGTTCTCTGAGGGCTTGGGCTCCTGGGGTGTCTATTCCTGGAAGGACAGATGTGAGGGTCAGAGTGAGGACTCCATGTGGACACACTGCCCCTGGTTCTCTGCCAGTCCTCTTCTGGCTCTGGGGTCACAGTCACAGACAAAAAACAGCAAAACCTCCTGTTTCAATCTAGTGGAAAAACTCTCCATGGACTCTGAGAGTCGGGGTGACTGTGGGCACTAGCAGTTAATCTAATTAGAACCATGAACCTCTCTGATAATCCAGAGGGTGTTGATACAAACACTTTCTCTCCAGGATGGTATCCACACCTTGATGTCTAAGGTTTTATGTATTATCAGAAGTTTAAGACATTCTAGTGTTCCAATTATAAATTAGGAAGGCCCAGAGATTTTTCTTTTAATTTCTAAATATGTAAGATAAAATAATTCATAATATTATGATCAGAAATAGCTTTTCAATAGATTCAGAAGTCACAGCAAAATAAACCTAAGATGCACTTGCAGGACAGAAGGTTTAAGCCAAAGGGGCTCCTTCTCCTGAGAACCTTTCTACAGTGTTCACCTGTCTGCAATCCCATGGCACACGGAGGTTCCTGGGGACTGCGTGGGGAATACATTCACTGCAGACATGAGCGGGACTTACACGGCCCTGTACTGACCACAGAGAGGCTCCTCTGAGCAGAGGATTCCTTCGCTCTCCCCTCTTTTCCCATGCAAAGTGTCCTGGTTTGTTTTGTGTCAGCTTGATGGAGCCACTGGACATCCAGATGTTCCCTGGGACATTTTTCTGGCTGAGTCTGGGGTTTTCAATGAGACTGATATTTGAATCAGTGAGCTGAGGGGGCGGATGGCTTTCCTTAGTGTGTTGGGTCTTGTGTGAGTCAGACAGTGACCTGAGCAAGGCAGAAGGGCAAGTGTCGCCTGAGGAAGCAGGAGCCCCTCCACCTAGCTGCCTTTAAATGTCAGATCTGCTGTGTGCTCAGACAGGAACTGAGATAGTGGCTTTTCTCAAGTAGGCAGTCTGCTGAACATTGGAAAAGAATAAAGCCCTCAACTCTCCTAGGCCTACAGGTCAGGAGACCTCAGCCTCTTTAATCATGCAATTCTGTGCTTTATAAATCCCTTCTTGTGCTCAAATGGGCACGCACACACACATGCACACACACACACACACACACACACACACACACACACACACACACTCCATCGGTTCTATTCTCTAGAGAGCTCTGACTAATCCTCACGCTTTGCCAAGCACTTTCCAAAAGGCTCCAGATTGAGAGTGCAGGGCCTGAGACCTCTTTATGAGTCATGCGGTTAGGACATCTGGCAGGACTCAGCCTTATCACTGGCTTGCAATGACATTGAGAAGCAAGGAGATTCTCCTAAACCCTTCTCTGCGGCTGTACTTTGGGAAAGGTTAGGCTTGCTCAATTTGGGGAATCGTATTTACATCCATCATGCAGGCTGGAATGTGGAATTCTTCTGCCTTTTTTTGTCTAAACAGTGGCTCAGGCAATCAAAAGGTGCACACATGCGGAGCATGCAGCTGAGAGCGGGTCACTGTGATCAGAGGCCCAGTGTCCTCTGCTCGGTTTCCATGTGCAGATTCCTGCCTAATTACAAAATCATTGTGCAAATGTCAGTCACATGCATCTGTTTGTGTAAAGCTCAAGGCCATGTGCACATTCTCCCAGGTCACCACACAGTGGGGGACTCAGTACCAAGATGCTTCCCCAGAGAGGGACGGCTCTGGCAGGACTGTCCCAAAGACCAGGCACTGAAGGACTGGGGCAAGAAGGCTGCACCTGAGGCTGTGCACTGAAGCAGAGCCCTGCGGCACCTTGGAGTTCATGCTCCTGCTCCACCACTTCCTCACCTGTGATGTTATCAGAGCGCCTCCCCCACATACAAGGAGACCATCCCAAACTCACCGCTGGTTTTGTGGCTACCCCATTTCCTCTTTATAATGTAGGAAAGAATGACAGCTCCGTGGTTAGAAAAGGGTAAGATGATTCCATCTGCTGTCTTTAGGAGTTAAATGGCGTGGGTGTGTATGAAGAAGCCCTGGGGGAATGTGATGTTCACATTGTTGCTAAGCTTGCCCCTTTTGTGTGTCTCAGATCCACAACCCCTGTTGGTTGTCGCTGCTGTTAGTTGTTTTGCTCAGAGCTGGTGCCTGTGGCCAGCTTCTTGAGCATGAGCTGACACCTGTGAATAATGTGGTGACACACACCTGTGTCACACTCATGGGGCCTTGCAGCACATGGAGTCCTCTTTCTTGAGAAAAAACGTGCCTCTGCCAAAGCCTGGCATCCAGCTCAGTTCTGGAAATGCTCCAGGTCTGTCTTAGATACTATCTGCTTCCTACCTCTCTGTGTTCATCACATTTCCTCTCAGCTTTGAGAACGTTCTGGACTTGGGGGTGGCGCATATCCTATACCTCTTCCTATGTGAGTTTCTCCTCACCAAGAAGGAGGTGAGTCCTCAGTTTCAAACAAGTCCAGGGACCAACTGGTTGCATACCCATGATTCCATGGGCAAGCCCACTTTGGATTTTCTGTGTTGAACTTGGAATCTGTTGTACTTTGGATTTGAAAGGCCAAGTGCTGGAGGCTTGATGGCAGCCGATACGCTTCTGAAAGGTAGGGGCTGGTTCCTTTGGTGTGGGCCACTATGAAATGGGCAGCTTGAATCTCCCTCACCCTTCTGCTATGACATGTCTGCTTGGAGTCAGCTAAAGATGGACCAAACCCTCAGAAACCCTGAGCCAAAAGAAATGTCTTCTCATCTAAGTTGATTTACCATGGATTTTTGTCACAGGGACAGAAAGCTCTCACAGTCCTCACTGAGCCTTAGGATCTTTCTAGACCTGCAGTGTCTTCCTGAGATCCATGCCTGCTGGCTTGAATCCTTTCCCTGTTTCTGGATGGCAGGGTCCAATTCTCAGATACTCCTAGATAGCTGTTAAAAATCTGTGTTCACCCATAGCCTGCATAGTGCCAGTATGGCTCTGAATGTATCCACTGTATATTGAAGACAGTTGCCCATTTTTCTTGAAGTAACAGATTGTGTTCTTTGACAGGTTGAATATGTCACACTAGTAAGCAAGCTTTGTAAGCCTTTCTGTGTCACTGAAATGTGTTTCTGGTAGTGACAGTTTTTCTAAAAGAAATCTCTAGCATGGCCAAAACCTGACCAATGATCGACCTTTAGAAACTCATCTCATTTCTGTGCATGAAAGGAGATGTGGGTGCTCGGCACACAACTCCGCACAGAGCTGCAGATGTGAGATAAGGTTCTGCACATTAATGTCGCTGTATTTTCAACCATGGGGTGAAAAATGCTGTGAAGTTCAGGTGACATCTTTTGACCAGACATCATTTCTCTAAGGATGACAGAAGGTGTAGTCTCACATTCAGAAGAGACTTCTTTGGGAGCAGAGAAGCTAAAAAAGCATCTAGTCATGCCAATTTCTCTGTCCATGGATACAAAATGACCAGTTCAGTTCTCTTGATACATGATCCTTTAAAGACAAGTATTTCTGTAGTTGTGCTGTTAAGAAAAGTGTACATGACATAGCTGTATGAATTCTCCTGAAAAAAAATCTCATAAAAATAAATATTTTGGCCTTATTTTCAGCATTGGATAAACTTGCAGACCACATTAATCCCCTCTAACAATTCTGCCTCAATATCTTCTGCTATTTCATCAATTTGTGTAGCTATAGTGAGAGCCGAATGAGGAACATGTGTCACTTTTTGAACTGTACCCTCTCTTAAAAGTTCATTTCAAATGTCCTCAGCAGCAGGGAGTTTCGACTCTTCACTAACAGCCAACTTCTTAGCTTTAGCTATGCAGTTGGCCACTCAGAATGGTGCGTTCCATGCAGACACTGTTGGTGAGGCAGTAGCCTTCTCTAACTGCCCCTGTTCTGTGTGTTCTCATCTCTTTTCGTTTGAAAAAACTCCAAAAGCTTATTATTCATTGCAAGGTACCTGGTTTCTATG